TTGGTAGCACGCTTTTTGTTGCTACAAAGCGCGGGGTTCATTGAAGAGTACGAGAAGGAGAAGGTTAGGATCTTGACAGGTTCACAGTTGGAAGTAGGAAGTAGGGCGATTTGATCGAAAAAAATACAGTGCTCCCACTCATAGATGGACGATTCGAAGCCTCCCTCATCTTCATCACTTGGTGTGAGGAGCAACCTCCAAAAAAATTCGAAATCTCGACCTTTAGAAAGGTTTCTGGGTGCGGATGGTTACCGGCATCGCCAGAACAACTGTAACTTCGAATCAGAATTAACGTCTTTCACGTTGTTCCCTACGATTCTTCAGTTCAGACCGTATCTTTCAGAGCACGAAAGCACTGCACTTGCACTGACAACTGCCCCTTCGAATTGCTGCAAATCTGGCAGCACTATTGAGATAGGTGCACTTGCATTTACTTCTGTACACGATACTGTAATGAGCTCAGAAGCCTTTATATTAGCAAATTAGGCAATCAAATAGCAACGCGACTTCAAACGGGAGCCAGAAGCGTGGCGCATTCCAAAAAAGATTGGTACTTTGCTGTGACTTGATGTTCTTGAAAACTGTTGTTATTTCAAAGCAGTATGTGGTGCAAAAGTCTGACGAGACTCGAACCCCCGTACTTGCCCCAGAGCTCAGATGCGAGTTCGAACCCCATCCAAGGCCAAGGAAGTTTTCCCACAATTCGCCATCATTGTGAGAATGCATGGCCTTTTTCAATTTCAATCCCTAAAGGAATTCCTTCCAGGAAGTTCACATTCCCAAGTAAAACAGTATTGGCACGACTATCGATCAATAAGTGGTAGAAAAAGATGGACCTGAAATTGATGAGGGAACGTGAGATTCAATGCTTTGGTTTAGTCGCACGAATCACTAGCCCAAGGTAAGAGTCTTCAGGAAAATTGACGATACGGTAGGACCCAACTTTGACCCTCCGTGAACAACCTGCCCCCAGAATGGTGCACAAATTCCTACTGCCAGTGTGAAACTGTCTAGAAACCATCCCATGGAGAGAAAAAGGAACAAAAAAGAAATGAATATGAAAATCAAATAGAATTGAGGCAATTGTCACGAACAATTAAGAAAAATGAATAAACACGTAGAGGCGACGGATAGACAGCCCGTGATAACGACAAAGTGATTGTTTTCTATCGATGACGTCGTCGCCCCTGCACTGAACCGGATCTCTCCACCACAGCCCCAATGGAACCCAGGCAAAATCGTAGAAAGGCTCATTTGGAAGTGGAACTGAGGATGTCGGAAACGAACTAATCTTTAACAGAAATGTCATTGGGGGCTGAAATCGAACTGTTCCCTCAAACGCAATGCTTACACGCATGAACGCTAACGACTACTGAGTACCTCTTATGAATCCATTTGTTAGAGAAAAAGTCCAGGATCAAGCTGAGAGATAAACCCAGCAGCCTCATCCCAGAAAGTTGGAGGTTGGAAACTGTAAAATCCTTCTTGCCTCATCAAACCTAGTGGGAGCTAACCTAGTGGTCGGGTAACAATACAACCTACAACATATCTCGTGATCGTAATGCCCTTCCGATCATCGATTCAAAGTGCGCACATAATCCATCCTAGCCCAGGTTGAACCGAATACAAGTAAGGCTATGGACCATGAAAGGATCTATGCCAGTTTTGTATGATCACCAGACATAACAAACCCTACACTTAATCGATGGCACTGGATTACAAAGCATATAACTGATCACTGCTGTGATCAAAATTGGAGGCTGCAAGCGTGGCGCACTCCGCCAGGATCGGCTATCAGAAACTTATTGAATTTCGGCCAACAGAAGCCTCGAGACTGGCGGAAAAAACTAACATTTAGTACGTATTCAGATTCTTACGGTGATCTCTCAACTGCTTCATATTATTAGTGCTAATAAAGCTTATTTTATGATTGTTAGTAATAACAGGAAGCAATAATTGAATTTCGGTAGGATATTGTGTCCGCAATGATTCTTATTTCTTATAACCCGTAGCTCATGCCTCATACATACTCGTACTCGTATATACATAAATGCGTATTCAATCCTCTCCCTTGCTCAACTATACCCTTCATCTAATCTCCTTGCGACGAGCATCCAAGTATGAATACCCCGCAAACTCTAACTGCCTGCTCCTTCCCGTATCCCATGGCCTGTACTTAACGCACTCCTCAGAACATCCGGTCTAGTTCCCCATTGCCATACGCGTTGAAAAAAAGGAAAGAAGAAAATCGTTCCGACGGTAGC